ACTTTAACTCCATATTTCTCCAAATTTCTACAGTAAAAGTTTCTGGTCTTTGGTACAGTGGTAGAGGGCAATCATGAGGTCATGAATCCAGTGAAATTAGTCGCACACCTTTTTACAGTAAGAAGATACAGTAGATCAAAAATTACATGTTTTGACTATTTTGGAGGTATTTTGGACCAAAATGGCTTCTTTAAATCAGTATTTCTCAAAATTTCTACAGTAAATGTTTCTTGTCTTTGGTACAGTGGTAGAGGGCAATAATAAGCTCATGAGTCAAGTGAAATTAGTCGCACACCTTATTCCAGTAAATAGTTACAATACTTGAAAATTGCACTAGCGGACCAAATTGTGTACTTTATATATGTAAACAATAGAGTGGCTATCCTCCTGAGGACTCACAATCTGCCGGAGGAATCGTAGGGGGCTGGTGCTATGTGTCATCTCTATAAGGTTTAAATCACAAAAACGTGTCTCCCTGACCCCAGCGCGCTTTCTGTTCGATAAAAATGGGTGACTCCGAAAGGACGTTCCGCTGTTACCGTAAGTTCTCAACAAAACGCGCACCGTCTTTTCCCCGATGCGGCCCGCATGTTCATAGAGCTGAAAGATGCGGGCCACTTTACCGCGGTCAATAAATGCACTGCTGCAGGAAACAGTCCGCGTCTCCCCTCTCCTCTCGCTCTCTCTCCTCGAAGCGCGATTAAACGCCCTAAATAAAGCTCTGATACCTACATTTTGTATTGCATTAAAAGTTCATGTTTGAGGCCAAAAGTAATATGTTGTGAACAAATTAAACAGATTTAGAGCCAGCAAATGGCTGACAATATGCATTTCAAACTTTATTGACCAATTCTCATCCCTGTAACAAACAATAGTGTTGTCTGTGTCCACCTCCCTCACTCTGAGACATGTTCATTACTCTCTTGTAATGTAGACTATATTGCATTTTATTTTATTGTTGAAACTGCACATATCCTGATCCTCTACAGTTTTTCCTTCCACATACTGTATAAACTAGGAGTCGGCAACCTGCGGCTCCGGAGGCTCATGCGTCTCTTTCCTTCTGTAGAAGGAAAAACGTTCTTAACGTTTTTAAATGCTGTAAAATTGTGCATAAGTAATATTCAATTTAAACATTTCTGTCAACGTAGTGTGTCATATCCTGCGACGTAGGCCCGCGCCAGGCGGCCGATATTGTAAATAAACCGGCGTGTGAGCATCATAGACTGTGCGCATGGATCCCAAAGCTAAAAAGAGAAGAGTCGATAATAAGACTGGACTAAGAATGAAAATTAACATTTGCTTTCAGTCAATGAGGAAGGCCTGCTTCATGTTTGCGATGTAATGAGAAGTTTCTATGAGATAATTGTATCTGTGCTTAAAAACTACGAAAATGGCCGCTCGGGGTGGAGTTGAACCTGTGTCACCTGGATGGGGGCGTGGTCAAAAGCGCCTCATTTGCATTTAAAGAGACAGCACCAAAACAGGTTGCTCTCAGACGCACCTCAGAACAGGTGTAGAAGAAAGGCCCGTGGAGCTACAAATAATGAGACTCAGACCCAGGCATTGCAGTTACGCTTTATATAGGCCACAAATTAATGATTTAGATGTAAAAATCAATTATTTCAAAACACAATATGTCCACTTTAATGTAGCTTTTTTTTCAAAATTAGAAAATGTATTTGAAAACTGCAGCTTTCAGTCCAAATACATGTGGGTCGTATTTTGAGCTGAAGAAACTTTTGTCCATCCATCCATCCATCCATTTTCTACCCTTTAATCCATTTCTGGGTCAGGGGGGTGGCAGTCAGAGATGCCACCCAAGTCTCATAGCACCAGCCCCTCACTGACCCTCTGCAGGTGGTGAGTCCACAGGAGGATGGCTGCTCTCTGAGTGTGAGCATAGCCTTGATCTTTCAGTGGGGGCTTTGGGCAAAGTGGGGTTAAGTGTCTTGCCCAAGGACACAACGACAGCAGTCATCAGTGGGAGTCGGTGGAGAAGGTGTGGAGGTGGGAATTGAACCCACAACCTTCTGGCCTTAAGGCCAATGCTCTACCAACTGAGCTACTGTCGCCCCAAGAAACTTTTGTATTAATATATATTCATGACGCCCCATTATCTACAGAATGGGGTTCACCTGTGATCAGTGTGGAAAGACCTACAGCTCTACTTCCAAACTAAAGAGACACTACAGAACTCACACTGAAGAAAAACCATAAGAGTATTTGTATGAGTGGAATATGACAGTGACTCTTGTTCTGACTGTTAAAACAATCGCTAACATATTTAATTGTTATAGTATTTTCTTATTGTGTAAATGAGAATTAAAACATTTCAAATTTCTGTTGTATTAGTTTAATGAATTCCCAGGGGTAACGCAATGCAGTAATAAATACAGTATGTGCAGTACTCGTATCGGTACTCTGTAACAGTAAGTACTCAAAGTAAGGTTACTGGTTGGTTTGGATACATCACTAACTTTTGTACATTATCTTGTTTACTGCACACACATATGTGTTTATAGACTATTAGAAATGTACAATCAACACACAAGCAGTGTTTTCCATCGTTCCATGGGTTTTAGTATATTTACAATTTCAATCTGTTTATACAAATGTATTTCTGTTTCCGAGTGGTCGGCTCTAAATGGAGAAAGTAAAAAGGTGTAGCCTCCCCATGAACATACAGAGCATATATATTAAACATGTTTCTTCTGCCGCTTTAGGACAAAATATGCATTTTAGCCTTCAGCATCTTTATGTTGAAGCTGTTTCTGACACATTCATATGTACTGCCCTCATTCAAAGAAATGAACTGAATACAAATGTCGTCTGTTTGGGACCATGAAGGAAGATCAAAGGAGGAAAACAAGTTCAGTTGATTTGTCATTTCTAAATCCATATTGATTGTTAGAATATTGTGTTTTCCATTCTATTTATTAATGTTTATTAAGAGGAATAACCCCTTGAGATTAATCATCTCGTTTCCGAGGGGGTCCTAAATCGAATTTTAAAAAAAACAATACAATAGCAACAGTCAATTATGTACAAAACAAAATTATTGCATTAAACACAAAATAAAGGACAAAAGCTCAACACTCACACATACACGCACTCAGCCCTCAGAGGTTACCCAGTACTCCCCCTTTTACTACAGCAAAGTACAATACAAATTATGAATCAAGGAAGGAATAACTGCTTTAATTTTTTTGGTTAGGAAAAGGCTTGTTTCTCAGTTGATGGAGCGGTATAAAGTTTTTAAAAATTAATTTAATGTGATGGTCTAATGAATTAAATTAAATTTTTTTTAAATCAACTGAGAAACAAGCCTTTTCCTAACCAAAAAAAAACACGTAAAACACCAAAATTAATTTAATGTGATGGTCTAATGAATCGGTTCTGTTCACTGTATTTATGGACAGAATTTCTAGGCGCAGCCAGGGGCCGGAGGGGGTCCGGTTCGGGGACCACAGGATTTCATCTCTACTTTTTGCGGAAGATGTTGTCCTGTTGGCTTCAACGAGCCAGGACCTGCAGCATGCACTGGGACGGTTTGCAGCCGAGTGTGAAGCGGCTGGGATGAGAATCAGCACCTCCAAATCTGAGGCCATCGTGCTCGACCGGAAAAAGGTGCCTTGCCCTCTGCAGGTGGGTGGAGAGGTCCTTCCTCAAGTGGAGGAGTTCAAGTATCTCGGGGTCTTGTTCACGAGTGAGGGAAAGATGGAGCGTGAGATTGACAGGCGGATCGGTGCAGCGTGCGCAGTGATGCGGTCGCTGTATCGGACCGTTGTGGTTAAGAGGGAGCTGAGCCGAAAGGCAAAGCTCTCGATTTACCGGTCAATCTTCGTTCCCTCCCTCACCTATGGTCATGAGCTTTGGGTAATGACCGAAAGAACGAGATCGCGGATACAAGCGGTCGAAATGAGCTTCCTCCGCAGAGTGGCTGGGCGCTCCCTTAGAGATAGGGTGAGGAGCTCGGTCACACGGGAGGAGCTCGGAGTAGAGCCGCTGCTTCTCCACGTCGAGAGGACCCAGTCGAGGTGGCTCGGGCATCTGTTCAGGATGCCTCCTGGACGCCTTCCTGGGGAGGTGTTCCGGGCACGTCCCACCGGGAGGAGGCCCCGGGGAAGGCCCAGGACACGCTGGAGAGACTATGTCTCTCAGCTGGCCTGGGAACGCCTTGGGGTCCCCCCGGACGAGCTGGAGGAGGTGTGTGTGGATAGGGAAGTCTGGGCGTCTCTGCTTAGACTGCTGCCCCCGCGACCCGGCAACGGCTAGAGCGGAAGAAAATGGATGGATGGATGGGTCCAATGAATGAGTTTTAAAGGAAAGGGTTGAATCCAGCCAAAGGCCAGAAGGGTTGTCTTCTGAAAAAGCATGGTATATGATTTGGTTGTTTTTAAAATTAGTTTATTGGACAAGAGAAAATTTTGAACTAAATCGAAATCATATTGCAGGGAGTTGAAAATATCTGAGACGTTTGGTTTTGAACAGTGAACAATGGTATCATCTGCATATAACTGGATGTCAGATGCTCTGGAGGTCATTCTGGAAAATTATCAGGGAAATGATGATTGACGATGAAGTGTGGATGGCTACTGTGTGCGTGACTTGTTGAAGATTTGTAAATAAAGAACACATGGTTGTCACGTGGGCATCTTAGTGCATTTATGATGTATGTAATGATTCTCCACAGAACAGTGTTTTATATGAACTGCTCTAAATGAAAACGAATAAAAAAATAAAAAAATACACACTCCTGACCTGTGCTTTTATATTGAAAGTCAAACCCCACCGGAAGTTCCTTTTTGTTGCCGGAAGTGTTGCACGCGCGGCTCTATCAACTTGAATGAGACCCCTGCTCCTTTGCACATAACTTCCATCCGTAAATCCTTCTGTCTCCCCCGGGCACAGACACGGCTCTTCCCGGGACCTCCGCGGTGCTCTTGCTGCTGTCCTGCCTGCTCTGTGGTTCCGTGCGTGGGGAGGCCTCGCTGACCATGTGCACCCAGACCAAAGCGGCGGCTCTCATGGCCAACATCCCCCGGGCGGAGATAGACCCGACTGGGGTGTTCAAGTACGTGCTGATCCGGGTCCACAGCCGCGAGGAGGGCGACGACTCCGAGATAGACATCGTGAGAGGCTTCGGCTGGGCAGAGTACCACGGTCTGTCCATGTTTAAGGCTAATGCAATAAGCACAGACAGATGAATGGCCAAAGCCTTGTCTGCATACTGTTATCTAGGTCATTTAGTGTGTGTGTGTGTAAGTGAGTAAGTAAGTAATCTAGTAATCTTTATTTATATACCGCCTTTTCACTGCAGACCAGAGTCACAAAGGGGTTTACAATTGTTATTTTTGGGCATTTGTCTCTCGCTCCACACAGAGATGGGAGCGGGGCCAGTACAGGAGGCGCATGCCAGACCTGTTGTGCATGTTTTTAGTGGTAGGGGAAACCGGAGTACCCGGAGGAAACCTACGCAGACACGGGGAGAACATGCAAACTCCACTCAGAAAGGCCCTGGTCCAACCGGGATTCGAACCCAGGACCTTCTTGCAGAGAGGCGAGTGTGTGTGTGTCCCTTAATCACAACTGTAGTTATCTCGAAGGACTTTACAAAGCTGCCGATTCGCAAAAACAGATCAGAGAATCAAAGTTAAAGAACGCAGGAAACTTAATGATAATTGATTGGCCGAGTTAGGGTGATCCATCTTTTTCACTTTTCTATTTGAAAAAGATGATAGAGATGTGACGCAGGCCAGCCAGAAAAACTTGCATGCGGAAAGCCGATTATCGAACCAAACTCGTTACATGGAGGCTATTATCTATGTCAAGTATTTGTGGTTTGAAAGTTAGGTACCCGAGCTTTTCTGAGCTGCCCAGTACACAGAGCACCAGCCTCTCACTGATCCCCCTGCAGGTGGTGAGTCCACAGGAGCTGAGATCTTTCAATGGGGGGGGGGCTTCAGGCAAAGTGGGGTTTCTTCTTTCTGAGTTGCAATTGCTATAAATGCACTTGACTCTAGGCGAGTTCTGTAGTCCTAGAAGTAGTTAGCACTCTCGCTTCTCAACAAGAAGTTTCCTCGATTCGATTCGACCTTCAGACAGGGCCTTTCTTTGTGAAGTTTGCATGTTCTCTCTGTGTCTACGTAAGTTTCCTACGGGTGCTTCGGTTTCTCCTACCATTAAAAGTATATATAATAACACCCTTCTCTCTGGGGGCATGGCTCCCTTGAAACAGATATTCTGAAATTCCAGTAGGACTTTCCTGGTTGAATAAAAGTAATTAAAACTCCATGCGGAACTGACACACACAACACACAACACACACATATTAGATATCTGCTGATCCACACTGACGACAGCATTGAATCCTTGATGTGGGGGCAGTTCTGATCCTTTGTGTGGTCTGCAGCGGACATCTATGACAAGGTGGCGGAGAAGCTGGAGGAGGGCGGTTTCCTGGACTGTGAGTGCGTCGGTGGAGGACGCATCCGCCACCAACCAGAGGCCAAGAAGATCCACGTCTACGGGTATTCGATGGTACGAGCTGCCGAGGGTTCACTGTGGACCGGGGGGAGGGCCACGGGGAAAGGGCAGTCTGTTCATGTCTTCATTCACCATAAACAAACCAAAGCACAGACAATGAACTTCATTTATATACCACAATTTATAAAAACAAGCTTCCTAAAAATTCAATTAAAACTATTTACACAAAGCTAATTATAGAGTTATTTCTTAGACCCTCCTGCATCCAAAAGGAATGACTGAAATAGAAAACAGTGGGAAACAAGTGAGAAACCCCAGGAAGACCCACATTGAGAGATGGATCCACTCCCAGAGACGGACTAGCCATAGACCCAGGACTCAGGCTGTAGAACGAGGACTCAGGTCAGACTTTTAAAGCAATAAATTGTTTTGTTTTTTCGCAGGGATACGGTCAAGCAAACCACGCGGTCGCCACGGAGAAGCTGAAGGAGCGCTATCCGGACTACGAGATCACATGGTCCAACGACGGATACTGAACCTGAGCCACACCAGGGCTGGGTCTATGGTCTGAGTGCAATAAACATCCAGTCCTGAGCCGTCGTGTAGAGATGGGTCAAGCAGAGACTCCCAGAATTACTGAGGGAGCTGTCATTTTTCACTGCTCCCATTCAACCCATTAGAATTGGTTCCTCCAAATATGTTTAGGGTTCTACCAATGCTCTTTCAAACAGTGTATTTTATACTGTTTCTACGCTTATTCGATTTTAATGAATGCTAAAACTGGTGAATATAATTGACAGCCCAACATTATCACAATTAAAATACACTTATTTGCTGCACCGCTATCAAGACCTTCACTGTCACTATCATCTTAACAAACGGGGAAGTGATCTTGTTGCATGTTATAGAAATGTTTGTGTTTTGGAGCTCTGAAAAAGGATTACTGCAAATGTAAACTTTTTATTAAAATCCAAACACATTGGGTGGAATTCATTATTTGTCATTATATTGATATGACTTGTTTTAGAGTCTTTGTCCCTCGCCAGGAATTAATAAAAATGTGTTTCTCCGTCAGAATAAAGCTCTTTTTATTGTCCTTTTACCGAATGAAAGGTTTAAACTAGTGATGGGCAGATGAAACCCCGTAACACAGAGACTTTCTTTGCCAGACCTTCTGAATACTTGCTATGGCACCAGTTACCTTGGAAACCATCACTATGAAAACAACCAGCTGTTACCATGACAACGGCCTGTCTGATGAATCTTGTTTTAATGCAAATTTCTTGCAAGTTCTTTTTTGGGAGTTTGTTTCCTGTTGCTACTGTGATGGTTGCCAGAGTTACAGTTGCTATGGCTATAGTCACCCTGGCAACCATTGCTATGGCAGTAGTCATTATAGCAACCGTTGCTATGGCGATAGTTACCATGGCAATGGCTATGGCAATCAATTTGGCCTTTTGATTTAAATAAGAAAAATAGATGAGTTGTGTTTTGAAAGTTAGGTACCCCAGCTTTTAGGGACATGCACTTTTCAGTCAGAGTGATGAGAAACACAAATCTTTGTATTATCTTATCATATTCAGTCTGTCTGTATCCCCTCTGTCTCTGTGTGGTCCCAACATATGAACCTGTATCTGCCACGGTCCTTCAGGGTGAGCAAATACCTTTATGGTTTGTTGCAGGTGCATTGTGGGTAATCCTAAAGTCCAGGCCTTATCTGCAGAGTCCTCCGTGTGGAGCGGAGCAAAGATGAGGAGTCTCTTTGTTCTGCTGTTTACTCTCTGGGGTAAGACTACTACGACTACTGCCACTACTGCTGTGTGTGGGAATAGGACTATTGAGGTTGTGTGGCTTTAAAGCTGGGATACTTAACTTTCAAACCACAAAAAATGAGCTATGTTGTAAAATCCGTGTTTAGATCTATGGCTCATTCTATCACTAGTTTTCTCATGCATGTATTTCAGGCCTTTGTCAAATCTATAGAGCAGCTTTATAGACAGAAAAATACTGTTGAATAGTGACTCACAAGTTTTGTTTACAAGTATGTAAAAACAAAGTGGTCTGATTTGTGATTGTTCTCTCTCTGTTGGGCTGGGGGGGGGGGGGGGGGGGGGGGGGGCTGGGGCGTAGATACCTCAGCTTTAATGGAGATAAATTAGATAAACTCTCCTTCAGGGACTTTCTTGAAAACTCACCTTTTCACTTAAATCTCAGTGTTATTTTCCTCAGTAAAAACTTAATATTCGGTTTTCTTTTTTCTGGATTGCTTTCACAAAAAAATACGCACAAAAAAACGATAGAAACGATTACACAAAGCATTAATCATAAATACTCCATCATGGCGGCTCTGAATGTACTTCAAACTGAGTACAATGAGTATAATTAGCCTTTGAGTATTTGACCAGCTTTAATGATTGGCATGGGAAATTGCCTTCAAAAAACATGTCTTTTAATTGTATTATCTTATTCATAGTAATTACACATGATTTAAACAGTGTCTTGTATAAACCCTGTGCTAATACAGCTACAACTTGTGTTCGCACATGTTGTCATGGTACCACCAACATAAACAAATATTGAAGATTTCCCTCAACACAAAGACTCTTATAACAATGGAATGGGTTTCATCATTTAATTCAGGCTAAACAGGACAAAATTATTTTAATGTACAGTATTTACACATTATACGTGATACAGACATACATGTAGATCCAGGACTGAGGCTGTAGATCCAGGACTGAGGCTGTAGATCTAGGACTGAGGCTGTAGATCCAGGACTGAGGCTGTAGATCTAGGACTGAGGCTGTAGATCCAGGACTGAGGCTGTAGATCCAAGACTGAGGCTGTAGATCCAGGACTGAGGCTGTAGATCTAGGACTGAGGCTGTAGATCCAGGACTGAAGCTGTAGATCCAGGACTGAGGCTGTAGATCTAGGACTGAGGCTGTAGATCTAGGACTGAGGCTGTAGATCCAGGACTGAGGCTGTAGATCCAGGACTGAGGCTGTAGATCCAGGACTCAGGCTGTAGATCCAGGACAGCTTTAGAGCCTGGTCCAAGGACAGAGGCTGTGTGGTGCAGGACTGAGGAGGCTCGCAGGCGGGGGTTGCAGACCACGAGTCCGGACCATCTCATCTCATTTTAGGGGGTTCCTTAGTTCACTCAAGTCGATAAAGTAAACAAAAAATATCAGTGGTCGAAAACTGCTGCTCACTTAAGATCTGCATCTAATCTGACTGAGCATGATTGTTGAGTAAGGAAGAATGGGCAAAACATCCAGGCTCTATATGTGCAAAGCTTAGACATAAAAAACGATATGTATTGGGTAATTTCTAAAGACAAAAACCATGTACCCTTTTGCTGTCGCTGCATTAGTCTATAAAAAATCCCAAATCCACTGTGGTAGTAGCAGAGAGATATGTGCAGTCCATAACTACTTCATATTGTACTGCATATTGTATCTCATGATTTTGTCCGAGGTGAAAAATGTCTTTTTAGAGTAACACAGTGTCGTAGTTTAACAGGGCGTTGTCTTGTGTTTCTTTGGAGAATTATAGTAGCCTTTAATAATCAAGGACGGTGATTTAACTGACTCATTTCGCAACTTATCCCAGTCTGTTTTATGACCGAATGGGAACTCAAAGGGTTCAAAGGCCACTGTTACATTTGTGTTGCCGGTAATTGGTGCTCTTCCTCAACCATGGAACTCCGAGAATTCTGATCTACTGGAACTCCCAGAGCTGTTATTATTACTGCTGCCATTATTTTCTGAAATTCACTTGCGTTCTATACATTACCCTGTACGTTTTTTTGAGCTGAGTAATAATGCCTCCAAAACTAAAAGCCGTCAAATTGACTGCCCAGGGAGTTCTAGTGTGAAAGTTGCACTGTAATTTTTCTATCACCAGAGAGAGATGCAGTAAGCGATTTTGTTAGCTTAGCCGTAGCACCGACTGGAAACCACTCCCCCTCCCCTCGCCTCTCCACCAAACCAAACATCCAGAATTTTCTTTTCTTTATCACAAGAGAGAGAGTGGGCGGCAAACGTGAAATTGGCATTTTCTGTTCAGCCTTTTGAGGTTTTAGAAAATAATCCGATAACTCAGGTACATGCACTCATGAGAAACAGGAAGAGGGTGAAGGGGTAAACGCATCCCATTGGTTTATTCTTTATTGGTCCGCTCACATGATAACTTGACTACTTTTAGGTTTTAAGGACGTTTTCCCGCAATATGTAAAAAAATGCATCTGGAAAAAAAATCACTGACTGCATCTTTAAGCCAACTTTTAAAACTGTATGTAAAATGTAATCAAATTCTTGTTCTCAAAACAATATGGTTCTAGTTTTCAAATAATAGTAATAAAGCCTCAGTTTTATCCAGCGCGTTTTACTTCTTCTTTTTTATTGTATAGAATGCTGAAGAAGACCAGACAGCTGATAAAAAAGGCTGTTTTTAAAGATTAGTATACATACAGGAGGGTCCAGGACATTGAACAACATTTATGGGGATCTATTCACATGTATAGACAGTGGTCAGCCTCTTTTGGACCAATGGTTCTGTGTTTGTGAGTATGAATTTAAAAGTCCTCACTAATGGAAAGTGTTGTGTTACAGTGTGTGCAGCAGAGACTCAGAGTTGTGTGACTCCAGAGAAGAAGTGCAACTTTATCTGCGACTGTCCCGACTGCGAGGATGAGCTGGACTGTGGTCAGTACATGTCTTCATCTTTGATTTCATCCGGAGAGACGAGACGGGCACAGATATGTTGGTTATCACTTGGCACATAGACCCCGGCCCGGGCACTTGATAATGGAAGATCTTTGCTTAATGTGAGATGAGATGGTCCGGACTCATAGGCTGCACCCCCGCCTGGGAGCAGCCTCAGTCCTGCACCACACCCTCAGTCCTGGATCTACTGCCTCGGTCCTTTATCTACAGCCTCAGTCCTGGATCTATAGCTCCAGGATCTATAGCCTGAGTCCTGAAATATTTCCTGAAATTTGACCAATTTATACTTTTGTTGCTGTTGTTCCTTGCCGATGCAGAATGGTCAGACAGTCAAGGACAGTGGTAATGATACAGGACATTTAAGTATATTTTTAGACGTTGGTCACCGGCCCCTTTATGGACCAATGGCTCTACGTGTTTTCTACCATTGCATTTCCTGTGTTGAACTGCTTGATTCTTTGGTCTGTGTGGGTGAATCGACAACTTTGAAAAGACCCCTAAGATACTTACTGTTGTGATTTAGGGCTTTACAAAAATAAATTGAATTGAGATATAGATATATTTAGATACAGAAACAGTTGTATCTATATAAAACAAATAGTTGTTGTTCCTGCAGGTTTCGCGGGGCAGACGTTTGGATGTGACTTTGAGCAGGGAGCATGCGGTTGGACGGACGGGTCCTTGAACGCATCGTACACCTGGGAGAGACGACAGCGGGGCGATGCCTTCACGGACACTGGGCCTTCCTCTGACTTCAGCGTGGGAACAGCCGACGGTGAGACCACCATCTGAAAATGATCCCACGGCCCTTCAGTTGAGAACCGCTGTTAAAGACTAGGACTTCCAGAATTATGAAATTACTCAAACTCCCAGAGCCACCATTTTGACTGCTCTTGTTCAAACCAATTCTGTTTAATTTCCCACCAGTTTGAACAAAAGTAAAAAAAGTTTTTTATCTTTTTTTTTACCTTGACTCACTTCTAATCAGTGCTAAAACTGGTGAATAAAGGGGCCTAGACCCTGGTGGTCGGAGCTAAGAGAAGGGTGAAAGAGCTGGTCAGGCGGTGATGGGGAGGAGGAGGGTTGCTGCATTAATGAAAGCTGAAGCTTGAATGAATCTCCACATGTTATGAAGGCTTGATGACAGGTGACGCTTGGCATTGAGTTAAATTCTTCTGTCTACCAGACTGAACCTTCGCTTTAGCTGTGTCACCAGGAAAAAGGGGCTTTAACTATGTTGGTTACTATGCAACTAAAAAAGGTTAATAAATACCCAAAAATACAAGATAATTTCATATGAAAATATGATTTAGAAAGAAATTGCATAAACAGAAAAAGTCGCAAAGACATAAAGACCAAACATGTACATACGCTTACAAAACTAACAGCCGTCAAATTGACTGCTCTTGACATAGAAACCCATTTGGACTAATGTTTTAGTGTTAAAATGACTGGTGTTTTCAGGCTGGTTCATGGCTGTGACTGCGGTGAGCACAGGGGGGGTCAGTCGGGCGGTGCTGGTGTCTCCAGAACTGAAACCGTCTGCTCCGACCTGCCGGGTCAGCCTCCGGTACTTCCTCTGGGATTCAGGTACCGTTCTGCTAACTCACTCCACTCTGATCTGTCTCTGGTCTATCTTTCTCTCTGGTCTCTCACTGGTCTCTCTCTGGTTTGTCTCTGGTTTGTCTATGGTCTCTCTCGCTGGCCTCCCTCTGGTCTGTCTCTGGTCTCTCTCTCTGGTCTCTCTCCCTGGTCTCTCTCTGGTCTCTCTCTCTAGTCTCTCTCTCTGGTCTCTCTCTCTGGTCTCTCTCTGGTCTCTCTCGCTAGTCTCTCTCAGGTCTCTCTCTGGTGTCTCTCTGGTCTCTCCTTCTGGTCTCTCTCTGATCTCTCTCTCTGGTCTCTCTCTCTGGTCTCTCTCTCTCTGGTCTCTCTCTGGCCTCCGGTACTTCCTCTGGGATTCAGGTACCGTTCTGCTTACTCACTCCACTGTCGTCTCACTAGAAGTCCTGTTTTAAATGTGTCATTAGAATAATGATTGGTAAATGTGCAGTGGTGAGGTCACTGTATCAGACTGTGTTGAGGGAGCAGCGTCTGCAGTCAAAGCTCTCAATTTTTCTGCTAAGTCTACCCCCCCTGCCCAACCTCTGGTCACGAATTTTGGTCAATGGACGAGATATTTTCTGCCTTTAATTTTTTTTCACTTTTCTTCATCTTCAGGTCTGACAGGTCTTGGCCTCGCCCCTCTCTGGGCATCGGTTCGTTACCCCGGCGAGGAGGAGGAAGCGTTGCTGTGGCGACCGGAGCCCAGCAGCGTCCGCGGATGGAGGGAGGCAACCGTGTTTGTGGGGCGCACCAACTCCAGCTTCAGACTCGTGTTTCAGTCCGAGAGACAGGACGGAGGCAGCGCAGACGTGGCTCTGGACCATCTGCAATTCCAAAACTGCGCACTGCCGAGTATTTGAGTTTAAATTCACTCTCTGGACTAATACTGGAGCGAGAAAGTCCTCCGAGAGACAGGATGTAAATCTCCCCACTAAGATTCAGATTCATTGTATTTGCCATTTGCAGTAAAACCACTTTGGAATACACTTTCAAAAGTCCCCAGAGAGCTCGGTTTAAGAGACTGGATTAATAAAAAAAACCCTCCTGAACAAAAAGCTCACAGCTCCCAGTCGTCTTGGTCTCTCTCTGGTCTCTCTGTTCACTCTCTGGTCTCTCGCTGGTGTCTCACTGGTCTCTCTCTGGTGTCTCACTGGTCTCTTTCTGGTCTCTCTCTCTGGTCTCTCTCTTCTCCCTCTGGTCTCTCTCTGGTCTCTCTCTGGTCTCTCTCTGGTCTCTCTCTGGTCTCTCTCTGGTCTCTCTCTGGTCTCTCTCCGACCTCTCTCTGGTCTCTCTCTGTTCTATCTCTGTTCTCTCTCCGACCTCTCTCTGGTCTCTCTCTAGTCTCCCTCTGGTCTCTCTCTGGGTGTTGGTGTCAGGTGTTGTGTTGTTGTGTGTCTGTGCAGGTCCGTCCCAGACACCATGTGGTGATGGGAGTTTCTCCTGTAGCGATGGGTCGTGTGTGGAGCAGAGGTTTGTGTGTGACGGGACCAGTGACTGTGGGGACTCCAGCGATGAGAACGACTGTGGTCAGAATCACACACACACACACGCGCGTGCAACAAAAACACACACACTACAAACACGTACACACACATACACAATAAACACACGCAGACACGAAGACACATAAAAACATACTCAGGTCAGCACATACTGTACACGTATACATACTACAAACACACACACACTCTACAAACACGCACACACACACTACAAACACACACAGACACTACAAACATACAAATGCTACTAACACACACACACACACTACAAACACGCACACACAGACGCTAAAACCACTTACTACAAACATACACACACATTACAAACACAAACAGTACAAACACACACATACTACAAACACACACACAGACGCTACAAACACACAAAAACATACACAAACACTAAAAATACACACAGACACTACAAATAAACACACACAGACACTAAAATCACACACACACACTACCAACACACACAGACATATTACAAACACACACACACCGACACTAAAATCAAACATACACACACACACTACAAACACACACAGACACATTACAAACACACACTGACGCTACAAACACACACACAAACACACACACAGACACTAAAAACACACACACACTACACTAACATATGGGCTGTGAAGCTCTTTGTGTTGCCCTGTGTAGGTATAAGCGCCATACAATTAAAGGTGATTGTGTGATTGTTCCGGTGCAGACGATTTCCACAGCTGTGACTTTAACGACAAGGACCTGTGTGACATGTGGGATCTCAGGTCTGTGTCTCCTCTCAAATGGATCCGGACCAACCAGAGGAACCTGTCCAGCTCAGACCCCCGGGTCGGACCGGGACGAGACCACTCCAACAACTCTGCATCAGGTGCGGACTCCACATAAGTGCTAGTCTTTCGTATTTCAAGCTGGGGTTCCTAATTTCCTATTTTGCTCCATGAAAGACCTGCATTTTTTAAGAACCATCCACGCTAATATCAAGAACTATGATGTCATTGTACCACCATGGGTTTGCAGCCGGTAATTTTCTAAAAGAAAAAAAAATATAGGGTAGGGTAGGGTAGAGTAGAGTAGAGTAGAGTAGAGTAGAGTAGAGTAGGGTAAAGTAGAGCAGGGTAGGGTAGGGTAGGGTAGAGTAGAGTAGAATAGGGTAGGGAAGGATAGAGTAGAATAGAGTAGAGTAGGGTAGGGTAGAGTAGGGTAGAGTAGAGTAGAGTAGGGTAGGGCAGGGTAGAGTAGAGTAGAGTAGGGTAGGGTAGGGTAGAGCAGAGTAGAGTAGAGTAGGGTAGGGTAGGGTAGGGTAGGGAGGCGTAGAGTAGAATAGAGTAGAGTAGAGTAGAGTAGGGTAGAGTAGAGTAGAGTAGGGTAGGGTAGGGAAGGGAAGGGTAGAGTAGAATAGAGTAGAGTAGGGTAGGGTAGAGTAGGGTAGGGTAGAGTAGAGTAGAGTAGAGTAGGGTAGGGTAGGGTAGGGTAGAGTAGAGTAGAATAGGGTAGGGTAGGGAAGGGTAGAGTAGAATAGAGTAGAGTAGAGTAGAGTAGAGTAGAGTAGGGTAGGGTAGGGAAGGGTAGAGTAGAGTAGAGTAGGGTAGGGTAGAGTAGAGTACGGTAGAGTAGAGTAGGGTAGGGTAGAGTAGAATAGGGTAGGGTAGGGAAGGGTAGAGTAGAATAGAGTAGAGAAGGGTAGAGTAGAATAGAGTAGAGTAGAGTAGAGTAGAGTAGGGTAGGGTAGGGTAGGGAAGGGTAGAGTAGAGTAGGGTAGGGTAGGGTAGGTTACGGTAGAGAAGAGTGGGGTGGGGGTGGGGTGGGCTGGGGTGGGGTGGGGTCTGGGTAGGGTAGGGTAGGGTAGGGTAGGGTAGTGTTATCGTTGCTGTACATACTAGGCCCAAACAAATAGATATAAAAGAGGACATTTAATGACACTGAATTATAACAAGATAAATACAGACATAACAGAAAATATCATACCCAAAGGAGAGATGGTTGGAGAGAGAGAGAGAGAGAGAGAGAGAAAGAGAACCCTGGAGGCTCTGGACCTCAGTATTACGCTGCTACATGTTGCAGAGAGTTGTCACCGACCAAGAGCCCAAACTAGTCCATCCCAGCTCTCTATATACTGGCTGTGAGGTTACTCTCAGGTTCCACTGGATTGGTCAGGGGGGTCAGTCAGGAGCAAGCCAGCCCCCATGGAGGGGAGACATGGATATCAGATAAAGGGGAAAATCCATACCAACCGCTCAAGACCTTCACCATCGACTCCCACCGACTACTGTCGTTGTGTCCTTGGCAAGACACTTAACCTCTGGGAACACCAGCCACAGTGGGGCGGCTGCGGCTGTAAAGTGCCAAACTGCCGTTGTGTCCTTAGGCAAGACACTTCACCCCCATTGCCTAGAATGAGTCTGGTGTGTGTGTGAATGATTGGTGGTGGTCGGAGGGGCCGATGGCGCATACTGGTTGCCTTGCTTCTGTCAGTGTGCCCCAGGGCAGCTGTGGCTACAGCAGTAGTTTATCACCACCGTGTATGGAGTGAATGAATAATGACACATGTGAAGCGTCTTTGAGTGTCCAAAAAAGCGCTATATAAAACCGATGCATTATTATTATTATTATAAAGGGGAAAATCCATACCAACAAGTAGGGTAGGGTGGGGTAGGGTAGGGTAGGGTAGAGTAGAGTAGAGTAGAGTAGAGTACGGTAGGGTAGGTTAGGGTAGAGTAGAGCAGAGTGGGAGTAGAGTTAGGCTAATTAAGGATGGTAGAAACAAGGATATTGTTGTAATACGGTTAAAAACTCAAAAGTCAATTTTTCTACATTACATATGGCCTGTGTGGTGTTTTTATATGTTTTTTATGCTCTCATGTGGATGATGTCATTTGGATGCTCTCATGTGGATGATGTCATTTGGATGATGTCATGTGGATGATGTCATTTGGATGATGTCATGTGGATGATGTCATGTGGATGATGTCATGTGTTGCAGGTCACTTCCTGTACGTGACCGTCCCGGAGTCAGGACTGACCACAGACTGGGCCGTTTTCCAAACCAAACTCCTGGATCCAACAAACAGCTCCCACCCCTGCAAAGTAACACCACATACTGTTTACTGTTACTGTGAAAGAGAACCAGGATGTGTTCATTATCAATTTAAATTATAATTATAATTTGAGAGCAACTGACTAGTTTATCTCATGTCCCTGATTAGAAGTCTCCATCCCACAGTTTTCAGTAGCCTGTATTTCTCCTTTTATATCCGTGACCGCCTGGATATCCGTCGTTGAAACTATTGTGCCACCACTTTCGCTGTCTATGGGCAGTTTCAATATGGCCACGGGGGCTGGAAAATGTGAAAAAATGCATTTGCACATCAGCTGAGTGCCTTCAAAATTCCACAGCGACTAAACTAGACTGGTCCAAAAAAATTCACTTTCCTCAGCATTGACACACGTGGACACGTGTGGAACGGAGCTTTGGGCCAAGAGCGACTTTAGGACCATCCTGTAAAGCCATTTTTGAGAGGCAAGAAGATACATACATTAGCATCGGCTAGTTCTTATTCCGGGTCCACCCCCACAGGCCTGGGGTGGTATTGCAAGCAAGTCAGCGCAAGTCACTTTGGAAATTTTTGAGCCAGGACCCGCTCCCACTGGCTTCTGTGGTAGTTGTACTCTCTGGTCTCTCTATGATCTCTCTCTCTGCTCTCTCTGGTCTCTTTCTCTGGTCTCTCTCACTTGTCTCTCTCAGGTCTTTGATGATGGTTAATACTGTGATGGGAGACCTCTGAGAACACCAGGTGCCACAGTGAGGGGGCGGTTGCGGCTGTAAATGATCAAACTGTTGTCGTGTCCTTTAAGCAAGACACTTTCCCCACATTGCTGAGAATGAGTGGTTTGAATGGTTGGTGGTGGTCCGAGAGGCCGATGGCTCATATTGATTGCCTCGCTTCTGTCAGTGTGCCCCAAGGCAGCTGTGGCTATGTAAAAGTATCACCACTGTGTATGGAGTGAAAGAATAATGACATGTGAAGCGTCTGAGTGTCCAAATAAGCACTGAAATCAAACAAAACTGCTTGTCCAATTGGGAACTCAAATCATTTTTGTTGATTCCAGTGCGCACATACAGACCACAAACATATAAGATAATATAAGAGAGACTGGAGAATTTTAGATTTGGCACATTTGGTATAGATTGATTCTTTCAGATTGCGCAAAAAGACAGTGCGCGACATGTTAAGGTTAAAATACAGTCTGTGCAGGATGTAATTATGTAGCAATAAAAGAAAGAGTGGCAATAGCAGTGCAGGTGTTTTTTCTTTCTTTTTTTTCTTCACTCTTGACTCACATGGTCGTGTCCTGCTGCAGATGGTTCTCTACTCGCACCAGTTTGGCCCTCGCTCCGGGGGCCTCACGGTGCTGGTGGCCGGTCACAGCATCTCCCCCGTGTGGGAGAGGGGAGGGGCTCTGGGAGACCTGTGGGTGAGAGACGAGGTCCAGGTCGTCGCCAACTCCACCTACCAGGTCAGCTCTATGTTGTGTTGTCATGGAAACCGGTCTGGAAGCACTCGGCTCTACTATTCTCTACTCTACTCTGCTCCACTCTGCTCTACTTGACTCTACTCGGCTCTACTCTGCTCTACTCTACTCTACTCGGCTCTACTCGGCTCTATTCTACTCTACTCTACTCGGCTCTACTCTACTCTACTCTACTCTACTCTACTCTACTCTACTCTAATCGGCTCTACTCTACTCTACTCTACTCGGCTCTACTCTACTCTACTCTACTCGGCTCTACTCTACTCTACTCTACTCGGCTCTACTCTACTCTACGCTACTCTACTCGGCTCTACTCTACTCTACTCTACTCTACTCGGCTCTACTCGGCTCTACTCTACTCTACTCTAATCGGCTCTACTCTTCTCGGCTCTACTCTACTCTACGCTACTCTACTCGGCTCTACTCTACTCTACTCTACTCTACTCTACTCTACTCTACTCTACTCAGCTCTACTCGGCTCTACTCTACTCTACTCTACTCGGCTCTACTCGGCTCTACTCTACTCTACTCTACTCGGCTCTACTCGGCTCTACTCTACTCGACTCTACTCGGCTCTACTCTACTCTACTCTACTCTACTCTAATCGGCTCTACTCTACTCTACTCTATCTCGGCTCTACTCTACTCTACGCTACTCTACTCGGCTCTACTCTACTCTACTCTACTCTACTCTACTCGGCTCTACTCGGCTCTACCGTTCACTCTAGCCATACACACAGAACTCATTGCAACACATCAGTACCACGTATAACTCCGCCCTCTAGCCGGGCCTGTATTCATATCAATGTGCGGCACTATATACCATACACGCTAAAACATTGTTATGGGAGGTTAGAAAAAAGTCGGGCTTGATACGGGTTTGGGCCTGAGAATTCTGAAAACCTGTCGGACTGGGCCGGGCTGGCACTCCACTCCACTCCACTCCACTACTAAATGGAAAAAGTGAATTATGTCTTGATTTTATGTTGAAGGATTAGTGGGTTCTTCCAATAAGAAAAGTAAAGAATGAATACAATTTTCCGTGTCGCTCACTCCGACTACATCCATCTTCCTTTGGTTTGGGTTTCAGATCCTCATCATGGCCGCAATACGAGACCTAGAGTACGGAGGCATCGGCGTGGACAGCATCATGTTGTCTCCAGAATGCAGACTGTCAAAAGGTAGAAGAAGAGCAGAACGAGTGTACTGCCTGTAACTCCCTATGCTGCCACCAGAGGGAGCCGTGGAATTTTCTTTGTTTTGTTTTATTCCAAATTTGCAAACGTATACATGTGATTATGAGTGTTAATCATTCTGAGAAATGGGCAAATCTAATCTATGGGCAATACTTTTGATTTAAAAAGTAGAAAACTGCTTTAAGTGTGATGTCAAAGTGGTACTCCAGAGAGAGACCAGATAATGACATCATACTATTACAGGACTGAGACGGGAGCTTTTAGACAGAAGGGGCGGGGCTACATGTTTATGCCAGAAGTTTATAATATAAGCATGGATGGCTCTAAACACAACTCCAGGTCTGTTTCTGATGGGGAACAATGTTGTAGCATGGGTACAAGCCGGACAAAGTTGATGTTGAGTAATATGTCTCCTTTAATCTAAATTATTCACATTATCTCTGTGGCTGTAATGACATAAGATTGTGATTTAATTTTTTATTTGTTGACAACAGCGCCTTTCAATCATTAAAAACACAAACCTAGTGTTGTGTTTAGCTCCATCCAAGCCAATATAAGGAACTTCTGGCACAAATGGCCTGAATCAAATTAAACGAATGTCTTAATCTCATTGGTCAAATCAACAAACAGATATTTAGATACGACAAGAAACGGGTCAACCCATTCTCTTCCCATTTATTCATTGCTGGATTGCGGGGTCAGGAGTCTGGGCAAAGACTCCCTAATTTAAATCAATAAACTGTAAAGTGGCCTTTTCTAGACATTACCTTGTGTGAAAAAACATACTTCCATAGCTTGTACATCTTGCAGTCCTATGACGTATCACTTGAAATCAATACTTGTGTTTTGGCAGGAAACTGGACGCGGCCGATATTCCCCGAATCTCCCCCGAACCCCTGCGCCTCTCCGGAGAGAATGTGCGACTTCCAGACGGACTGTAGCGGCGCCGAGGACGAGAATATGTGTGGTACAGCCCAGTTTTTATGTGATCATGATCAGACTAGTCACAGGCCAAAACACTATAGTCCAACGAGGTTCATTTGGTAGATTCATCTGATAGATTCAACAGGGCAGAAAAACGACTTGTAGTAGGCCCAAACACTCTCTGACCTTACACCTCTCTCCCATCATTTGTTTTGCTGAATGTCTATTGTGTTTTTGCATTCCTTTACCTGTATTACTCTTATAACTTGTTTGCACCTTGAGCCAAAGCAAAGTGACTTGCTGTTCCGTATAATGGCATTACAAAATAATCAGACTATTATTCAGAAGTCGACAATAAAATAGTAACATATATTCATGTTTTAATTATTATTGATTTTTGAAAGATATTAAAGTCCAGGTTTTCTGTTGTAGGTGACTTCCAGTACCCAGACGGACACAAGGGCTGGACTGACTCCAGTGTTGGAGGTCAGGGCTGGACGAGGCATCAAGACGCCACATCTAAAGGTGCAGAGGTCATTGTTGTTGCCGGTCTTAGCTTACTGTGTTAGCTTACCGGGTTAGCTAAAAGAGTTAGCTTACAGAGTTAGCTTCAAAAGTTCCTGGAATCGGGAATCAAAAAAGGGCTAGTGGAAACACTCACAATCAGGGTAGAGTAGAGTAGAGTACAGTAGAGTGGGGCTGAGTAGAGCTGGTGGAAACAGGGCTTAATTCATATTTAGAGTAAGCTTCTCCTCATTTCCAGTATTCTATTGCCCTGGTCCACACTGTTGATTAGTTTATAAATGTGTTTTTTTTTTATAGCCATAGATGAAAGTTTTGACCAAAGTTAAGCTGTCCACGCCCAAAGAACTTAAGAAGGTTGTCAACGCCCTGATAACCACACGGCTGCATTACTGTAACTCGCTCTACTATGGCCTTGACCAGTCCTCCATTCACAGACTACAGCTAGTACAGACCGCAGCAGCTCGGACGCTGACTGGCACCAGACGCCACGAGCACATCACTCCTGTGCTCTAGTCTCTCCACCGGCTTCCTGACATTTTTAGAATTCAGTTCAAAATTGTATGGATTTTGTTTAAATCATTGCACGACCTGGCCCCCGTTGTACATGACTGATCTGCTTACTTTGCACACTCCGGCCAGAGCACTGAGGTCCTCTGACCAGCTTCTTCTGCACTGTCCCAGGTCTAGATTCAAGACCAGAGGAGACTGGACTCTGGAACGCTCTCCCTTATTATTGTGTCAGAGCAGCCCCCCCTCTAGAGAGCTTCAAATCACAATTCTTTGCTCTGGCTTAAAAATCAAGCTAAATTGAAACTGTTAGGATAGCAGACCATTATTTTATTCTATTTTGTAATGTCTGGAAAGCACTTTGTGGCAGTCATGTCAGTTTTTTTTGTGAGCTATATGAATAAACGAATTGACCTTTACCTAAAACTGCAGTATAGAGGCGACTAAATAACTATTGCTGTATGTTCCCGGTCTTTTCAGAGGTGCACCTGTACGTGGCGGCAGCAGCAGGACGCCTCCAGACCCCGGCTCAGATGAAGACCCCTCTGCTGGGACCCTCTGGACCCGCCTGCAGCCTCAGCTTTGACTACGCACTCACCGGCCCCTCCCCTCATATCGGTAACCAGCATTTAAGGGAAAATGTGTGTCTTTGTCAGACTCAGAATTATCTTTACAGGCTTTGTAAATCAATCAATCAATCAATGTTTATTTCTATAGCACAGTTCATACAGAATGCAACCCAAAGTGCTTCACATCAGCAACGTTTAAAAGCAATTTAAAAACCATTTAAAAACACACTGTAAAAACAAATACAAAAGACAGTTTAAGAAAATGAATAAATATATACATCAGAAATAAATTTATGATCCGATTTCTTGATGATCAGTCGTAGGCACGGCTGAAAAGAACCGTTTTCAGCCTGGACTTGAACATAGCTAAAGTAGGAGCCTGTCTCACACCTTCGGGAAGACTGTTCCAGATTCTAGGTGCATAGGTCTGGAACGCTGCCTCCCCATGTCTAGTCCCGACTCTGGGCACCAACAGGAGGCCAGTCCCCGCACTCCTCAGAGTTCGAGCGGGCTCGTACGGCACCAGCATGTTGCATATGTATTTTGGTGCGAGACCACGGAGAGACTTATATACAAGGAGAGCTGATTTAAAATCTATTCTCTGAGCCACAGGAAGCCAGTGCAGAGACCTGAGGACTGGACTAATGTGGTCGTCACACATTAAATCACAGGAAGTCACAAACTAGGGATGTTCTTTGGTACATGGTGCAGACAAGTTGTAAGAAGTAAAAAATATATATAAAAAAGCATGGATAAAAAGTGAGACAACCAGAGTTTCACAGCGTTTACCTAGTTTTAGACCTAAAAAGATGGACGCTCTTGTCAGCATCTGCCACAGTGCTGGTTCAAAAGTTTTCTTCGACCTTCAGATAAACACAACATGTAAAGTACTGTCTTCTGGATCTATTGTAACCAGCTCAGTATTAACATGCACTGCAAAAAATGATAAATGGTAATAATTGCTTGAAATCAAGTGCTTTTATCTTAATTAAAAAACGAAAAGCATGATTTTCCAATGGGACAAAGCCATTTAGTTTTAATTCAAGAGCTGTTGCCTTGTTTTCTCATTCCAAGGAAGACATTTCTTTTTAAAACAAGATCATTTTTCCCATTGTCCCATCGGCAAATCTTGTTTTAAGGCAGTCAAAATGTGCTCAAGTTAAAATACAGTTTTTTTCAATTTTGAGCCATTTTTTAATTATTTTTCATCACTTTTTGCAGTATAATTGCATAAAAAAGTCTTCTAAATAATCCATATGAGTTTTACTTTGATAATTACATGTATCGATAAGCTCAAGTGAGAAATCTCTATCATTGGGATTGTACTTCTTCTTGTAAATCTTCAGTTCAATTCAATGTATTTTTGTGCAACCCTAAATCACAGCAGGAGAACTCTTGAGAGACTTGACAAAGTGGTCGATTCGCCAACAACCGATCAGAGAAACAGACATCGGACACAAGAAACGCACACATAGAAGCCATTGGTCCATTAGGGACATAATGACAAATGTCCACAAATGTTGATAAATGTCCCGGATAATCGTCAAGGAACCACTCAATAACCCAGTGAGGGAGAGGCCCATGGGTTTTCTCTACCACTAAAAACAGGCTTTTCTCATTTAACTGTGGTTAGTAACTAAAACTACAGCCGGATTTTGAGGCCTACTAAAAACAATTGTTCTTTTTTCTAAAGTGCTCCGACAATATTTGCATTGGTCTTGTCACTAAAATCAACTGATATTACTCTAACCAGTCACTGAAATGTGTTTTCATTTGATTTTTAGATGTCTCCTTTTGTTCTAGTCGGCAATCTCTTACATTGGGATTAGTTTGGATCAGTTTAGATTGAGTTGTAAATGGTATTTCAGTATTGGTGCCAGCTATGATCGCTGTGCAGTCAGACAACAATCTATAACGGTAGAAAAAAAACGTACACTTTTTGTCGTGCAGGATCTGTGTCACTGCATGTGATGGACAGTGAGCTCGGTCCGCTGCCAAAACTCTGGGAATTTTCCGGAAAAACAGGAACCGATCCGGAAATCTGGAACCGCACCGAGGTCCACATTGGGCAGAGGGCGTCACGCTTCCAGGTGCGAGTGTCGATCCGTGCGTTTTCAGCTTTGGCTCGTTCTTCTGTTTGTTCAAATGCATGTGTCTTGTTCAGCTGGTGTTTGAAGGAGAAGCGGCTGACACACGAGCTTCGGCTGAGATCAAAGTCACGAACATTTCATTCCACGGCTGTTCTCGAAACTACTTCCCCTTCTCTCCAACTGGTAAGTGAAATTTAGTATTAACCTCTGAGCTTTTATCTCCATTTGTATACTGTATTTATGTCCACATTATATACGTAATGAACCCTTATTTTAACGTGCTTTTGTTTGCCGTTCATTTACAAACAACTTGGTATAATTACAAAAAGTACATGTTTAGAGCTATCTGTGGGTTAAAAGGATAGGACCATAATTCCCAGTGCTAAAAACGGTGTGTTTTTGGTATCCTGAGCTTGACATAATTGTCTAGATTTTTGAATGTTCAGAAATTCCCACACAACTGTTTTAGTATGAGGTTAACCAACTTTCCAATGACTTAAGAAAAGGTGATACATGTTTTATTTGCCTCCACAAAAAGTAAAATGTCATGGAATCAGATCTTAATTTTAAGGGCTGAGTGAAGGCGGTCCACTTTTTATCAATTCTCTAGACTGAAAAAACTGAACCGAACAGTTTTTGAGGCATGGATTTTAATACTACCGTTTGTAGTTCCACAAAAACGGTAGGTAAAATAGTTTGACCAATTATTTATCCCTTCACCATTTCTTATGACAGTGGCTCAGTTGGTAGAGCATTGGCCTTTGAGTCTGAAGGTCTTGGGTTTGAGCCCACCATGAGACCTTCTCCACATACTCCCACTGATGTCTGCTAGTGTTGTGTCCTTGGGCGAGACACTTCACCCCACTTTTCCTGAAGCCCCCGCTGAAAGATGGAGGCTCCTGGTGCTCTGTGTACTGACTGCCACCCTCGACCCAGAAATGGATAAAGGGGAAGAAAATTAATGGCATTTCTTATGGTTTTACAATTTTGCTTTAGAAATACTAACATTTTGAAAGAGTGAGGTCTAATTGATGTTTTTTGTGGTCCTCTTGAAATATGAAACATTTAACTCCCTTTTCTCTCTGGAAGCTCCAAACATAAATACAGTGGATTCAAAATAATAAAAATGTTGATATTTTTGAATACTTTGGGGTGAATAACTGTGTGTTTGTTCCAGGAGCGTCCTGTAACTTTGAGGAGGGTCTGTGTGACTGGTTCCAGGACAACAGCGATAACTTCGACTGGACGCTGCTGCACGGAGAGGACCACACCGTTGGAACTGGTAAAACAAACCGGATCCAGCCAGACCTCTGAAGCTCAGCAGGGTGTGTGGTTAGTGTTGTGATGGGAGACCTCTGGGTCAGGCATGTAGGCTAAAGCTAGGCTAAATGCTAAATGCCTCACTCTCTCGGTCGCATTAAATACGCCACTGTAAACTCAGATCCAGTCGTTTCAATCTGTGAAAGGAGTGAACCCCTCCCACCTGTTAACGATTCTCAATGGAGTGAATCCAGACCTTAGTACAAAATGAAATGAGTACGGTGGTATGGTAAGACCAGGCTACGATGGCACATGGTTGCTTTTATCAGTGTGAATGGGACAAGAAGGTCCTGAGCTCGAATCCCGGTCGGAACAGGGCCTTTCTGAGTGAAGTTAGCATATTCTCCCCATGTCTGCGTTTCCTCCGGGTGCTCCGGTTTCCCTTACCACTTAAAAAATGCACAATAGGTCGGAATGATATGAGAGAGTGAATGGATGGTGTTGTTCGGAGGCTTTGGATGACCTTGGTCTGTAAAAATTTGCTATATATATCAAGGTCACATACTTAATTACTAATCGAGAAAATTAACATCTACAACTGATTAATTGACTGTGATTTTGGATTTAGAAAGCACAGTTTAGAATTTGACTTTATAGCTGGAATATTTTGGAATATATCAGGGACGCACACTAATGCTTAGAAATTAAACAGGAGTAAATTTTTGTGTGTGTGTGTGTGTGTGCTCAGGCAGGAGTGTGGTGGTGGACTTTTGGAGCCAGTCTCACCGCGGTGCATCAGGGCGATTGGTGTCGTACAAACAGCCTCCAACTTCTTCCGGAAAGTCCCTCTGCTTCTTCTACAAACTCTACGGCCCAAATACAGGTACAGAGACTCCAGAGACTCCAGAGACTACAGAGACTCCAGAGACTACAGAGACTCCAGAGACTCCAGAGACTACAGAGACTACAGAGACTACAGGGACTCCAGAGACTCCAGAGACTACAGAGACTACAGGGACTCCAGAGACTCCAGAGACTCCAGAGACTACAGAGACTCCAGAGACTCCAGAGACTACAGAGACTACAGAGACTACAGGGACTCCAGAGACTCCAGAGACTCCAGAGACTACAGAGACTCCAGAGACTCCAGAGACTCCAGAGACTACAGAGACTCCAGAGACTCCAGAGACTCCAGAGACTCCAGAGACTCCAGAGACTCCAGAGACTACAGAGACTCCAGAGACTACAGAGACTCCAGAGACTCCAGAGACTCCAGAGACTCCAGAGACTACAGAGACTACACAGACGCTCTTTACCAAATGTTGCCTATTTCTGGCTAAGAAGGAGCGAGGAGTACTGACTATGAACTTGACTACAGAGTGGAAAGAGCCGTCTCACAGTGGAAACAGTCACAGTCTGGGTCGAGTAGAGCAGGGAGTAGAGTAGGGCCAAGTAGCGTTGGTGGAAACGGGGCTAAAGTTGTTTGATTCTTGATTTTCCATGTTTCTGTGCCCCTGGATCCACTGTTTTTCACATTGTTTTTTTAGTTTATTAATGTGTTTTGTATGGCCATAGATTAAAACTACAGCATACAGGTAACTACAGCATCACAATTTGTTTAATAACTGTTGTTTTTTTTATAATAAACATCCTTTTTGGCCATTTAATATACGTCATCAGCCCCATACCTCTCTCTTGATCAAGTCTCTCTTCATTTGAGTTTATTTTGAAGATGGATGTTGGCATTTCTCATTCAGAACGAGACATTTCATCTCCATCAAAATGTGTTGTTCAACTCAAGTCTGAATGTGTTTAGTGAATTTAGAGTGAAAAAATACAGACTACTAATTTCAATATTTGACATTTTTGCAGAGAATGGTTGTATTAAAGGTTAGGATTGTGTTCGTGATTGGTGTGTGATTAGTGTACGAGGTAAATACTTCATATTTGAACACTTTTTCTTATGGAACGTACAAAAATCGCAATCACAATCGGACATATCGAAAGCCAACAGAGATGGAGTGTCCCAGTTGTTGGTCCTCCTGTGTGCTGCTCAGTGGGTAAACCGATAAGAAGACGATGGGAGTCACTTTGGAGTCCTCCATGCTCCAAACAAACATGATCACTGCAAAATAAGTGAAAAAATATGTCTAAAAAACAAGATTTACCAGTTGGACAAAGCAAAATCTATCTTGTTTTTAAAAAGATCCATCCATCCATCCATCCATCCATTTTCTACCCTTTAATCCATTTCTGGGTCAGGGGGGTGGCAGTCAGAGATGCCACCCAAGTCTCATAGCACCAGCCCCTCACTGACCCTCTGCAGGTGGTGAGTCCACAGGAGGACGGCTGCTCTCTGAGTGTGAGCATAGCCTTGATCTTTCAGTGGGGGCTTTGGGCAAAGTGGCGTTAAGTGTCTTGCCCAAGGACACAACGACAGCAGTCATCAGTGGGAGTCGATGGAGAAGGTGCAGAGGTGGGAATTGAACCCACGACCTTCTGGCCTTAAGGCCAATGCTCTACCAACTGAGCTACTGTTGCCCCTTGTTTTTAAAAAGATACAAGAGTTATCTCCCTTGGAATGAGAAAATATAGCAACAGTTTTTGAAATAACACTAATTGGCTTTGTCCCAGTGGCAAATCTTATTTAAAGACAGTCAGAATGAACTCAAATTGAGATAAAAACCACTCGATTCAATAAATTTTTACCTCATATTTAATCATTATAATTTTTACCAAAGTGAGTGTGAACCTGCAGCAGCTGTTGTAACCCCGCTCTGTCTTCCAGGTGCTCTGAATGTGAAGCTGGAGGATCTGTTCGGTTACGAGCTCACTCTGTGGTCTCACACCGGAGCTCATGGAAACATGTGGCACGAGGCTCAATGCCCGGTACCCCCCCAGCACACCCCCTACAGGGTAAGAGTCTGACCTAGGATTGTTTAGATATGAATACAACAGATTTAGAGTCATTTTATTTGCCATTTGCAGTAAATCACATAGGAATACATTTGCAAAGGTCCCCAGTGTGCACCAGACATAGATGCCCAAGGGTAAATGTACTTAATGATTTAATCTCATGTCATTCTTTGCAGACACCCCACACACACCTGCAAAGACTGACGTGCGATTCTACTAGGATTGTTTAACTATTCAACTCAAAGTGCAACAATCACGCAGGGCATACAAATCATTAAAAATACATGAGTTGTATGCAGCTAAACAGAACTGCTTATAACCTGGAATAGAACATTGTCAGAGAAGAAGCCTGTCTCACATTTTCAGGAAGTCTGTTCCTGATTTTAGATGTATAAATCTGAAACGCTGCCTCCCCGTGTTTTTGTCCTGACTCTGGGCACGAGTGAGCAGGCCGTTACAGTAATCCCACCTATTGGAAACAAATGCATGATTAGGAATCTCCAAAACTGCTTTAAACGCAATGTTTTTGATATATATGTTTTTAGATGGCAAAGGGCTAATGCTAAAGGTAGATATTTATACTTGCTTGGTGTTCACTTATCTTGTGCTGTATGCTCCTTATTCCTACTGTTTTTAACTGATGATGCAACACTGACATTTCTCCACTGGGACGAATAGAGAATCCCCTAATCTTATCTGCATGAATCGCCTGAAAACCATTGTAAAATCCCGGGGGCAAAAGTGTAAAGTGACATACAAAGCTGTGAATGGTTGTGTGTTTGGTTGTGCAGCTGGTTTTGGAGGCCGTTCGTTCGGGGTTCGATGGTCGCGTGGCGGTTGATGACGTGGTGCTGCGTGACGGTCCGTGCTCGTCGCTGCAGAGGATGTGCTCCTTCGAGGGGTCGCAGTGTGACTTCAGCAGCTCCGGAGCCGTGCACTGGAGCCTCACCTCCGGACACAGGTCCCCCGTGGGCCCCAAGAGAGACCACACCCTGGACACAGAGACGGGTCAGACAGCTGCCAATACTCACTGTTCAGCTCTGCTTTAGTTTGTTCATATAGCAAAAACTACATAAACGCAAAAACCATAAACTGAGGAGAAACAGGAATCAAATATTATAGATAAAAACAAAGGGTTATAATGCTGTGTGTAGTCTAGTTGTTTTCTCCGTTGTTGGTCACTAAATAATAATAATGAGGCATCCTTTTTATACAGAACTTTTCGGTTCACTTAAATACGCCTCAGTCATCCACGGTGGTGATAAACTTCTGTAGCCAAAGTTGCCCTAGGGCACACTGACAGAGACGAGGCAACCATATTTTTTATTAATTGCCTAAGTCAATATTTCTGTGATTGTAAATTATTGTTTTTCACTAAGTTTAACTTTTGGGAATATAATGTCCCACACTCTCCAGGTCACTACATGCTGCTGAACACCAGCTCAGACCTGCTCCCAGAGGGGGCCTCCTCCTCCTTCACCTCCCCCCTCATCCTCGGGACGTCCCACAGAAAGTGTCTACATTTCTGGTACCACATGGATGGAGTCAGTCCTGGTGAGTTTCCCTGACTGAGGTCCAGACCTCAAATGTGCAGGATTTTGTGACACAAGCAAAAAAGTGAGAAACCTTGAAGAGACCCACAGAGTCTCTTCAGAGAGAGGGATCTACTCCCACGGACGGACAGGCTGAGGCTGTAGATCCAGGACTGAGGCTGTAGATCCAGGACTGAGGCTGTAGATCCAGGACTGAGGCTGACTCAAATATAGATGTTCTGATCTTTATAGCAGGGTACAGCATGCGTATGCTGGTGGCGCTGAAGTTTGCTGCATGACACTGAAATTATGATCTCAAAGACTACTTTGTGTTGGCAGCAGTGGGCCACATAAAAGGACACATAGGACCGGAAAGGGCTCGCAGGCCTTAGTTTGGACATTCCTGATGTAGCAATGTGTGTGGTCACAAACAAAAATCTTTGTGTTTGTATTTTTGGTCAAATCTGGGTCTTGTGTTGAAGGCTCTCTCACCGCGTACATGAAGCCAGAGGGGGGCGAGCGAGTGCAGATCTTCTCCAACAGTCTGCCTCAGGGGCAGGTGTGGCGCCAGGGCAGTGGAGACGTGTCCCCAGATCTGAAGGACTGGCAGGTGCACGCACACAGACACAAAGACAAACACACACACAGAGACACACGTACACACACTGGTACACACATATATTACACACACACTGGCACACACACACATACACACACACACACACACAGCCCTCCATCTAATGCATCACTTGTTTGTTATCACAGTAAACGTGTTGTTTTGCAGCTGGAGTTTGCGGTGGTTGGTGCTGGCGGTGAAAACTCTCACGTTGCCATCGACGACGTCCATCTTTCTGCCGATCCCTGTGAACCTCAGAGTAAGAACCAGCAAGAACATCATACCTACTGTGAAGCATGGGGGTGGTAACATCATATTTTTGGGGATGCTTGTTCCTGTAAAGGGACCAGGACGTTTGATACGTGTAAAGGAAATATTTTAAGTGAAAACCTCCTTCCATCAGTGACTGGGTCTTTCAGAATGACCCCAAACACACATGTCCTGGAGTGGCCTTGCCAAGTCCCAAGATCTCAACTCATAATTAAAAAACTAGGGGTTAAAAAAATCCAAACAAATTATGTGTTATTAGAGCTTTTCGAGCATTTTAAAAAGGAAAAAATTGCATTGCTTTTTTCAAAGAGGGAACATTAGACCAAACCTTTCTCTTTCTATCAGGTAAAAAGAGACAAGATTTGGGTTTTTGTATGTGTTTTCATTGATGCTTGGTTTTTTTCACTTGTCTGTACAGCACTTTGGGAATTCTAGGCTGTTTTTAATGTGCTCTACAGATAAAGATTGATGCTTGAACATTAAAGGGTTAAGACTTACAGAAAATATTTTACCTCATTGCCAACAAAAAATTGAAATTTTTAAGTTCTTTTTAGTCTGTGCATTTTGAATACAAGTTTGTAAAAAGGCGTGCTGTTTAATACGATAAACCCTGACATATGTTGTTTGTGTCCAGATGTGAAGTGTACTCTGGAGAAGGGCCTTTGCAGCTGGAGCAACACCCAGGACCTGCACAAGGACCAGCTGGACTGGGAGCTGAGCAGCAGAGAGGCAGAGACCCACTACTCTGTCCCTGAGACCGACCACACGCTGGGGCACGACAAAGGTCAGGACCAATGTACTGTACGTCCAAAGGTCTGGCTCATCTCTCTGCTGTGGCTGTTTCTAAAATAAACCAGAGGGAAACAAGTGTCTTTCAAGGCAAGGCAAGGCTGGATGTCAAAGTTAGTACATCAGAGGGCCAAAAAAATAAATTTACTACAAGCCGACTGCCGGACTGGTTCAGTGTATCCTGTCGAACCAAGACCTAACACAGTGTACCCTATATAATCTAATGATTAAATGAATAATCTGATATCTTTGTGGCTCTGGCTGTAATTTCAAGTGTAAAAAAACTTTCAGCTCACACACAAAAAAAACTTCCTTCAAAGAGAAAACACATGTCTCTGTGTTGTTGGTTCTAATACTAATCAAATATCATCCCGGGGCCAAGATACTTCGTTCATACACAAGGCAACTAAAAGTGCTGAACAAAACAGCTACATTATAATCACACAACCATTGTTATTTTTTACGAGGCAAATACAAAAAGTTGTGAATGAGAGTCAGTCAGATAACCTTTGTGTGAGATAAGACAAGATTTACACTTTCACTCAGCATACACATACGCAATAAAGTCTAAGTATATATTTGTGAGTATTTTTCTTTCTCAGGTCACTTCCTGTTTCTACCCAGCAGCAACCGGACCGCAGCCAATCAGACGGCGTGGTTGTTGAGTCCGCATCTCCCTCCCACCAAAGGCACCTGTCTGAAACTTTGGGCCAATATGCCTTTTTCTGGTGAGTTTTACAAATTATCTCCTGGAGACATTTTGTGGCAACTCTAAGGAACCACAGATATAAAGACCAGGATTATAGACTGGGCTAAACCATAGACTTTTAAGCCCAAAATGGTGCGGCTTTGGGCTTCATATTGAGCTACGCGTTTTGCATTGTCCAAATACATATAAATTGTCCACTCACCTTTGGCCCTCCGCGGGCGGTTATCCCTCTCTAAGCTCGGGTCCTCTACCAGAGGCCAGGGAGCTTGAGGGTTCTGCGCAGTATCTTTGCTGTTCCTAGCACTGCACATTTCTGGACCGAGATGTCCGAGGTTGTTCCGGGGATCCGCTGTAACCACTCATCTAGCTTCGGGGTCACTGCCCCGAGTGCACCGATCACCACGGGCACTACTGTCACCTTTACCCTCCAGGCCCTCTCCAGCTCCTCTCTGAGACCTTGGTATTTCTCAAGCTTTTCATGTTCTTTTTTCCGGATGTTACCATCGCTTGGAATTGCCACGTCCACCACCACGGCTGTCCTCTGCCCTTTGTCTACCACCACGATGTCAGGTTGGTTTGCCATTACCATTCGGTCGGTCTGTATCTGGAAGTCCCACAGGATCTTCGCACGCTCATTTTCCACCACCTTTGGAGGAGTTTCCCACTTAGACCTTGGGGTTTCCAGCCCATACTCTCCACAGATGTTTCTGTACACTATGCCAGCCACTTATATATATATATATATATATATATATATATATATATATATATATATATATATATGTATGTATGTATGTATGTATGTATGTATAAATATAAATATATATGTAGATAGATAGATAGATATAGATATACATACATAACATAAAGATATGTATCCATGTTTTTGTTAAGTAATTCGTTGTATGCTTTATGGGTAGTAAGTTCCCATTGGGCTTTCATGTTGAGTGTGTATATATAAGTGTGTCTGCGTGTGTGGTCATATGTGCGTGGATACATATGTGTGTGTGTGTGTATATATATGTGTGTGTGTGTGTGTGTGTGTGTGTGTGTGGATGTATATGTGTTAGTGTGTTAATTGAATGTAAAAATATGTATAAGTAATGATATTGAGGAGCTACCTCAGTGGCTAATAGGGGCCTTAATAAACTAAACGCTATAGTCTATGGTCATACTATCAGAAATACAATTAGCATGACCGCATTTGAATAAAAGTATTTCCTGAAGCTGTTTTTGAGCCCTGCCTCTGTGATCTCCTTTTAGACCTGAGTGAGCTGAGGGTGTTGCTTCACTCTGAAGGGAAACAGACACAGATCCTCAGCACCAGTCAAACCGAGGGAACCTGGAAGTACTTCAATGTCACTATCACCTCCACCGACCAATACCAGGTCCGACTGCTGATTTTTGAGAGCGTATTTAAAGCTGGGGTACCTGACTTTCAAACCAAAACAACAAATATGTAAAACAAAACAGGTAACTAGTTTCTGGCTGTAAATGAGATAGTTCTATCACTAGTTTTCTCGTGCATTTGGCTTCCATCCGCTGCACCGATCCGCCCGTCAATCTCTCGCTTCATCCTTCCCTCACTTGTGAACAAGACCCAGAGATACTTGAACTGCTCCACTTCCTCTCCACCCACCAGGAGAGGGCAAGGCACCTTTATCCGACAAACACAGTGAACAGAACCTGTGACAAAGGGCAGCCTTGGCAGAGGCCAACACCAGGAACAGGTCTGAGGGTCATACAGGGACGGCCATCAGCAGAGGACCCCGGACACTGTACTCCCGGAGAACCTCCCAAAGAACACAAAGCATATAGACAGGTTGGGTGAACTCCCATGAACCCTCGAGTATCCAATGGAGAGAAAAACTGCACTGCTCCTTCTGAATCCGAGAATCGACTATCGGTCCAATACCTTGGAGTAGACCTTACCGGGGAGGCTGAGGAGTGTGATTCCACGATAATTGAGGGACCACCAGCCTGGTCTGCGACTCCATTGCCAAGGGGGAGATTTCATATTTTAGATTGCAAAATAATATCTTAAGTAGAAAATAACGTAAGTGCATAAGTACATGATGACTGCTGTTGTTGTGTCCTTGGGCAAGGCACTTAACCCCACTTTGCCTGAAGCCCCCACTGAAAGACCAAGGCTCCTGTGGACTCACCACCTGCAGGAGGATCAGTGAGGGGCTGGTGCTATGTGTACTGGGTGCAGCTCTGACTGTCACCCCCCCGACCCAGAAATGGATTAAGGGGAAGAGGATGGATGGCATAAGTACATGTATGAAGGGTAAAAATGCTTTGTGCCTGCAACTCCCTATGCTGCCACCAGAGGGAGAAATCAACAGAAAGAGTCTTGTAAAAGTATAAAGTCTTCATTGTATTAGAGAATCTCTTTTGTGTAAGAGCCCTGTGAGTCACTATTTGATGCTTTGGGCTGAGAGCTGATTGGCTGAGTGAGGGTGGTCCTCTCTTTGATCTACACAGAGGCCAACAATAAATGCATCCAGAATTTAATGATAGAAATAGGAAATAGTACACATTTTAATACATAGATCTTTTGTTGTTTGTGTGTTGTTTGAAAGTTACATACCTCAGCTTTAATGAACATGAGAAAAGACAAAGACATCTAATATTTAGTGTTTTTTCTTCTCCCAGATTGTACTGGAGGGAATCAAAGGCAGCTCCGGGTTCTTGGCTCTGGATGACATTGAGTTCACTGTAGGAGTGGACTGCACAGGGAGAGACACCGACACCGGCAACAGTAAGAGCGCAGGGCTTTATATACAGTCTGTGATAGGAGTGTGAGACAGCAGAGGGGAGGGGGAGACAGAGGGGAGACCAAATGCTAACTGCTGGCAAGTAAACAGTGTGTTACTACAGTAAACCAGACCAGAACCAGTCCAGGACTAGCACATTGAAAAAGAAAGTTATTTAGTTAAAGTCCAACATATAGAGCGTAATTACAAAATCACTAAAGCCGTCAAATTGACTGCTCTGGGAGTTTTAGTGGTAAACCATGCATTTTTGTCAGTCCTGCATTTATTCTGCGTCCACACCAGCATTGTGTAACAATCCTATCAGACATTAAAGAGCACAAAAATCAGTTGAGAATTAATATAAATGTTGCATTAGTTTCATCTGGTGAGTATCCACATGGTTCCTGGTTCATGTTTTGTGTTGTGTGTGTGTGTTATGTGTGTGTCTGTGTGTGTGTGTGTGCAGAGGGGGGGCTGCAGGACGTGGGGGGGATTGTGGCTGCAGTACTGGTGGTTCTCCTGCTGGTGGCGACTCTCACGGCTCTCTTCATCTTCTATCTGAGGTCCAAACACAGTCGGAGCTCAATGTCTGCGGTGGGATTCTCCAATCAGAGCTACAACGATGACCTCACCGTGAGCCCAGCGCCGAGTCGAGCTGAACGCAGAATATAGAACAATAATAATAATAATAATAATAATCATAATCATCATTTTTCATACAGCACATTTCACAGAGCAGACTCACAAATTGTGTGTTATTGTTTTTCTCTCACTCCTCACAGCGATGAGAGCCATACAGGAGGTGCTTGCCAGATCATATTGTAGTGGTAGGGGAAACCGGAGCACCTGGAGAAAACCTACGCAGATTTGAGGAGAACATGCAAACACCACTCAGAAAAGTCTGGAAGTGGAACCAAACCCATGACCGTCTTGCTACTAACCACTGCACCATCATGCTACCCGTAGTAGTGGTTGTGGTAGTAGTAGTAGTAGTGGTAGAAGTAGTAGTGGTAGTAGTGGTAGTAGTAGTAGTGGTAGAAGTAGGGGTAGAAGTAGAAGTAGTAGTAGTAGTAGTAGTAGTAGTAGTAGTAGTAGTAGTAGTAGTGGTAGTAGTAGTAGTAGTAGTAGTAGTAGTGGTGGTGGTGGTAACCGTAGTAGTAGTGGTAGTGCAGCAGACGTGTTGCTATGGAAAGCTGGAGTTTCCTGTATTTACCAAATTTACAACAACAACAAAAACATTTTAAACCAGCAATATTTTTGGAAGTCATCAGGAGTGAGTTTGAGCAAACCTTTGTGGAGCTAGCGTGTTAGCAATTTCCATCTATATACAGTCTATCAACTTTATTACTGTGATTTTTTGTGATTTTAAAGTTAGGTACCTCAGCTTTAGCAAAACAACTCATCACATGCCTTCGTCTACTGTCCAAACTTCATTTTAGCCCCTGGTTTTGATTCCAGGTTTTTTTCTATTTCCTTCTATTAAAAACGTACAAAGAAGGCTAATATATACACACACAAAAATCTTTCTTTTATGTAAATGAGTTCTCCATGTTTTCAGGAGGATTACGTAAGTCTGCCACCTGCTGTAGACCACCAGAGGGCAGCAGACTTCACCCATTTCTCAGTGTAGTAGTAGGTAATCTTTATCTATATACCGCCTTTTCACTGCACATCGGAGTCTCAAAGCGGTTTACAATTGTTATTTTTGGGAGTGGGGGTGCCAGTACAGGAGGCACATGCCAGACCTATTGTACATGCAAACTCCACTCAGAAAGGTCCTGGGTTCGAATCTCAGAAAGGCCCTGGTCCAACCGGGATTCGAACCCAGGACCTTCTTGCTGAGAGGCGAGAGTGCTATCCACTCAGCCACCGTGCCGCCCTCAGTGAGCGTCACAGTCAGAGCGTTCAGGGAGGAGACAGAACCAGCCCAGAACAATTTAAAACAATGAATTACTAAATTTTGCTTTTGAATCACTCTAGGATCAACAGTGTGTGGTTGATAACGGCTGTAAAAATGTCTCTATTTCATGTCATCCATTACATATTCACGTTAACTTACGATACAGGTTACCATAACATATTTAAAAGAATGAACACTTTATGTATCACAAAGCTGATTCTCCAGGCAGCGCTCCTTCTGAATCATAAATTTAAAAAATGTAGGCAAGGCAAGTTATTTTGTATAGCACAGTTCACACACAAGGCAACTCAAAGTGCTGAACAGAACAGGACACATTAAAATCGCACAAGGGATTAAAATTAGTATATTCATAAATAATTACATTTAAAGAAGTAAGTATATCAATTATAACAAAACTTGAATCAGAAAACAGACTTATTTACACTTAAAACGCACTATGCTAACAATGTTGATTTGCCTACAGCTGATTAGTGAGTCACTGGTCTAATTAAAGCTGGGGGTCCTGATTTGTGTTTGTCCCAATAAAAAGAGTCTTGGAAAATGTTGTGAACAAACCAGACCACAACATGTCATCTTTTGCGTATTTTAAAGAAATAGACTTGTGGGTCACTTTTTGGCGCTAAGTGACAGAATCAAACCCATACAGTATCTCTATTTGGAATATAGGTACCCCAGCTTTAATGCCAATCTCGAACCCAAATTATCTTGCCGTCGTTATTGCAATACTTTGTGGTGAATACTTTTGCGTTATGGTTTTCTTTTGCTGTGTTTCCAGGACTCTGTGGAGCTGGACTGAGCTGGACTGACCTGGACGACGTAAACGCATATAAAGATACTGGGATTTCAAAACAGCAACAAAAAGCCTGGTGGCGAGACTAGGAACTGCAGCACTTAATGTCTGGACCGAAATTAAAGGGAGTTGATTCAACTGTCTTCACTAAAACAACTGTAATGATACTGACATAACAAGAGAGTATTTGTAAAAACTTTGCTTTACTCCTCCCTTTTGGGCCTCAATCTATTTATTTCACTAAATGTATAGAGCTGTATAAGGATTTCTCTCCCATAATTCATTTGTTTTCTTTCTCTGTATGTATGTGGCCCTGGATGAATAAATTAATGAATAAACTGTGTTTATTAACAAACATGACCTATAGAACCTGCATTGCTTTAATTAGGGTAGGGTAGGGTACGGTAGGGTAGGGTATGGGTAGGGGTAGGTTAGGGTAGAGTAGAGTAGGGTAGGGTAGGGTAGGGTATAGAGTAGAGTAGAGTCGGGTAGGGTAGGGTAGGGTAGAGTAGAGTAGAGTAGAGTAAAACAAAACATTCTTTAAGGCTGTGTTATAGAAAAGTATTTGGTAAAAGGCTAGCTAAATACTAACTGCTGCAAGTAAACAGAGTGTTGCTATGGTAGCGAGCACTTATTATCCTCTGGTGGAAAACCAAACTCAACCCAGAACCAGTCCAGGACCAGGACCTGGGGTAAAAGGGGCTCTAACTCCCATGGAAGACCAAACAGGGCTATATTTGAATTTTACCTTATAATGAATGGAGCCATCAAAATGACTGCTCTGGGAGGTACGAGGAACAGGTAGAAAGTCACTGTTATGAAGACCTAAAAGGTTCATAAGCTGAGTACTTATGCTTCCATTGATAAAAGCTGTCATATTGACTGCTCTAGTGTTAATTCTTGATTGTGTAAAAGAATCACGTTTTAAAGATGATTGTTTAGTCATTATTTTCCACCAAGGGCTTTGATCAGATCTGCCTGATGCTGATGCTGAGGAGTCGCCCCTAGCAACCGAGGCGTCTCTACGGCAACATGCTCTCTCCCCTCTCCCCGTCCCTCTCCTCTCTCTCGTCTGTCACCCATAGAGACCTCGGATGCTGCGGATTGCCAGCTCCACGCGCATACACGTACACACACAGACACACACAAGGACACACACAGACACACACGGGGATACACACAGAGAGAGAGACACGGAGCTGGGCACATGGACCCCGCGGTGCTCATCTTCCTCCTCTACGTGATGATCGCACACGAGCTGGTGAGCGGGTGGGTCCAACATCGGAAGCAGAGCGGGAAAACCAGACCTCGGACCGGAGCGCCGCCCAGGACCAGGTGAACACTGCATTCCATTAGTCTGGGTTGGGACTGGTCTCGTATGGTTCCCTCTATCAGCCAACTCTCCCTCGCTCCTGGTCTGTGGCTCTCAATGGGAAACCTATCTCATGATCTTTGTCATTGCTGATCAGTTTTGGTCAAGTTACTTCAAAAACCTTAATCTAGTACCTGTTACTGTAATGTGCTATACTACAACATTACTGTCTCTGAAATGAAAAGCATTACACTACTGGATTACTTTGAAGTTACTGAGTTACCAATAGTGTATTCAACCCTTATGCTCGGGTCAAAGTGAACATCAGGAATAAAAAAAATACCATAAATAATTTGTTTCAAGCTGAATTTTGATGATTTTGGTTTCGCCCAAAAATGTTCTGCACATTTTTGTATAAATAATAGAAGTATTCACATCTTGAAAATGTACTATTGTCTGACAAAGTGCTTTTTCTGCTTCAGCTTCAGCCGTCTTCGACCAAACAATCAAAATGCACCTGGCTGCCTGACCCACACTTTAGAGCCAGAGTTACGACTTTGTGATGGTTTCCTTAATGGAACAACATTTACAGTGTGGACATTGGTCATCCGCCCCTTATGGACCAATGGCTCTCTGTGTTTTTATCGTTGCATTTCTTGTGTTTGAACTGTTTGATTCTCTGATCTGTGTCGGCAAATTCAACGGTTTTGTAAAGTCCTCCAAGATAACAACTGTTGTGATTTACGGCAATACAACATAAATTGAAATAAATAAAATTGGCTCTTAATTGGCTCAAACTTTAACCATAGTAACTTTCACATGTGGACTTGTGTAACTCAATTAGTATGTCGTGGAAAACAGGTAGCTAAACGAAGGTTCCTACCTGAAGATTTTCAAAGTAAATACAATAAAATCACAAATAATTCTAAAACGCTTGTTGTTATTATTAATCATTATAAGTGTTTGATAAGTGTGTTGTTTGTGGCAGGGTGCGGATGTGTGGCGGAGTGCGCAGGTCCAGCAGCCAATCGCAGAGAGAGCTGAGAAAGAGCGGTCGCATCGTCAGAAAAGCCTGAAAAGAGAGAAGAGAAGTTGAAGTGAAGAGGCTTTTACTGATCCAGGACCAGTCTGTGCTGTGGCCAAGTCGCAGAAGCAGAAACGCAAGGGAGCGTCACCAAATTGTAGCACATGCTTTTGACTCATTTTCATGTCTTGTTGTCGAGGAGAATGCATTGACATAATCTATAACATAAAGGCTCTTTATGTTTTTATATCATTGTATTTCTTGTGTTTGACTCTTGGCGAATTCGTCGGTTTTCTTAAGTCCTTCGAGATATCTACTGTTGTGATTTAGTGCTGTACAAAAAATAAATTGAATTGAATGTTACTCACACACCAACAGCTGTTTTAATGTATTTATTGATTTCAGGCAATGGCATAGATAAGCACAAGGTAAACAAATACATTCAAGTTACAAAAAAGACATCAAATAACTTTATGGTACTACAGTACATAGTCCCAACCCAATCAGTAATGGAGAAGCCAAGTGCGTAAGAAAGAAGATAATAATGATGATAATAACCATAGTTCTTCAGGGAATGAAAATATCTGTATTAAATGTAAATAAAAGTATAGTTTTTACTGTTTATGATGAAAAACAACTGCTGTATGGCTCGTTACCACAAAGCTAATAGCAATTGTATTAACACTCCTTTGCTCGTAAAGAGGAAGAAGAATGCTGTTTTTCGAGTTCTGCTTTTCCGGAAACATTTTCAGTGTTGTTGTTATTTTAAGAATAGACAAACATTGGCCGGCTTTCTTTTGACTGACAACAACGAGTCCTGATATGAACTTGACAAAAGCAGTGGAGGAATAACAACTGTTGTGTGATGTGGGAGGCGACACGGCGAGATTCTACTCAGACTTAAGATCGTTTCAATCTCTCTTATTCGTGGTATATTCATCCTTCTGAAAAAGATACAGGAGCAAGTTTTTGACACAAGAACAGAAAGAATTTTGATCATGCTTTTGAATCTGTTTGTCTGAAGGTCGATAGTTATCAAAGGGCCATGTTACATTTAGCTCATTGTTCTAATGTCTTGGTCTTGGCCTTGTCTTGGTCTTGTCTTGGCCTTGTCTTGGTCTTGCCTTGGTCTTGTCTTGGTCTTGCCTTGGTCTTGTCTTGGTCTTGTCTTGGCCTTGTCTTGGCCTTGTCTTGGTCTTGTCTTGGTCTTGTCTTGGTCTTGCCTTGGTCTTGTCTTGGTCTTGCCTTGGTCTTGTCTTGGTCTTGTCTTGGCCTTGTCTTGGTCTTGTCTTGGTCTTGTCTTGGTCTTGTCTTGGCCTTGTCTTGGTCTTGTCTTGGTCTTGTCTTGGTCTTGTCTTGGTCTTGTCTTGGCCTTGTCTTGGCCTTGTCTTGGTCTTGTCTTGGTCTTGTCTTGGTCTTGTCTTGGCCTTGTCTTGGTCTTGTCTTGGTCTTGTCTTGGTCTTGTCTTGGTATTGTCTTGGTCTTGTCTTGGTCTTGTCTTGGCCTTGTCTTGGCCTTGTCTTGGTCTTGTCTTGGTCTTGTCTTGGCCTTGTCTTGGTCTTGTCTTGGTCTTGTCTTGGTCTTGTCTTGGTCTTGTCTTGGCCTTGTCTTGGTCTTGTCTTGGTCTTGTCTTGGTCTTGTCTTGGGCTTGTCTTGGTCTTGTCTTGGTCTTGTCTTGGCCTTGTCTTCTAAACCTAAACCTGTTCAAACTGGCCCTTATTTAACCACAAAAATGACCATATAACAGAAGGCATGTAACCAGTTCATGGCTCTGAATCTGTTCCATCCACAGACTGTGAATATTGACGTCACACTTATCTCTGTCGTTAAAACTATTGTGCTTTCTTTTGCCCTCTTCTTTTTTTATTTTAGCGCTGTGCGAACTTTCGCAGTTGTTTTTGATTTGTAGAAAGTAAATACACTTTGGCCTAAACCATTTAAGTCAGAACTATGTTTTACGATATAATGATAATACGATATACAATAATATATATGTATATATATATATATATATATATATATATATATATATTTAGTTATTCAAAAAGTAATCCACCAAAAGGTTGAGGAAACTATTAAAGTGTTAAAAGCTTCACAGGTTTTGGCCCAAGATTTCTTTTCCTCTTTCTGTTTGGACAAACAACTTGTATTATACAGTATATAAAACAAATGTGTGACACAATGAGACAGTAACTGTGCGTGTGTGTGTCTGTGTGTGTGCGTGTGTGTGTGTGTGTGTTTATGAATAGAATTGTGGCCAAAAAGAGTTTGCCCGGATCTAAAACTTTAAATGCCCAACTTGCATATAACGTCTGCTGATCCCTCATGCTTTGTCCCCTGGGTCATGGTGCCCTGGGTGCTGGTCCCTTGGGTGCTGTTCCCATGGGTACTGGTTCCCTGGGTGGTGTTCCCTGAAGCTCTGACTTTGTGGAACGGCAGTTTGTGTTCACTGGGTTGTAAGACAGTTTCAGCGTTCTTCCTCCAGGCAAAAACACTCACGTGAACACAAGTCCCAACAGCAACACACTGGAGTCATCAGGTTTTGTCCACAGGGAAGAAGCCCAAGAGGAGGTATGACTAGGTCGGTCCAATGTTTGGATTTACAGAATATATTTGTATTGGGTTGAATTACTATGAATGCTATGATCTTTGCAAAGAAATGAACAAAGAATGGGCTTTATCGACCCAAAAATACTTATGCATCGGTGGTGGTCTATCCAGTGGTCATTTATTGGTATTGCTTAAAAAATAAATGTTGGCTTCGTTCAACCTCTTTTTCAAACGATTTATTGAATGACTGCAGTCATTATTTGTTCCTGTATTCTTTATTTTCAAAATGGTCGGACTCATCGGATTACTTTTGGTACTTCCACCTTTTGTAGTATTTGCAGGATTTGCAGTACTAAGAGTTTTAATTTTTCCCACCTTTTACAATGGGACTTTGTAAATATGTGTAATTAGGTGTAATAATGTACACACTCTCAATGTGTTCAGCAATTGTACAATTTATTGTTGTTTCGTGTATTGTTCTTTATTGTTTTTCTTTGGAATATGTTTGAAATAAAATCCTTCCCACCCACTTTATCATGTATTAACCCTCAATCATTACTGCTGAAGTCCCTCGCTCTAACACACTTCATCTTTCGTGTTTGTGTGCAATTTTGCGTCAAAATAAAACAAATATCACAATATCTCAACTCTTCTCATTGAAGGAAACAGGAAACTACATGATATTATCAGACTGATCATTTTCATTAGAAGTGACGTGCAGAACTATTTGTTTCTGTGTGTAAAAAGCGCTTACACACAGAGTGGGCGGGACCAACCCCAGGGCTAATGAGAGGCCTGCCATTGTCACGGTAACTGTCAATCGTGGGCCGGCATTCCTCTTTAAAAGCTCTACAGGTTTTGGCCAGAGATCCACAGACTCAGAGAGAAAGCGAGAGAGACTCAGAGACGCAGGGAGAGAGACTCAGAGGAAGAGAGAAGACAAAGAGAGAGAGAAAGAGAAGACACAGAGAGAGCGAGAGAGAAGACACAGAGAGAGAGAGAGAGAAGACACAGAGAGAGAGAGAGAGAAGACACAGAAAGAGAGAAGACACAGAGAGAGAGAGAGAGAAGACACAGAGAGAGAGAGAGAGAAGACATAGAGAGAGAGAAGACTGGGCTCACCTGGACAAGTGAGTACTCTGAAGGTTTTATAGAGATGTCAGTAAAGAGAAAAAATAGGCATCCTTGGCCTCTTTATTCTCTAAAGTGCTTCTGGCAGGTTTAGAAGCATGGCTAACCACTTTACACCTGTATTATTGAACTTTCATCGTGGATGTTTTGCTTTTCATGAATTTAGAAGAATGGCTAACCACCACACACATAAATATATGAACTTAAAATCAGGGTTAACCAATTCACACCTGTATTATTGAACTTGGGCATGGCTAACCACTGCACCACAGAATGGCTGTCAATAGATAAGTACACATCTGATGAAATACTAAATAAAATAACATACAATATAATCTATAACTTGAGCATAGTAAGGAAGCAGTCTATAATCTATAATAGGAAGCAAGAATTAAGTACAACATTTCTGACTTTAGAATAATGAAGAAGTAAGTATAAAGCATCGCTCGTGTTGAGAATGGCGCTAACCAAGGAAGTGTTTTTAAAAGAAAAAAAAAGAAAAATTAAAAAGTGTTTTAATCGAAACCTGCTCATATTTACTTAACTTTTTTAAGTCTCCAACACGCATCTGAGTCGACTTTGAAAGTACTTTATTATGTATACTGTATGTGCAAACAGATTCACAATTGCATGCATTTTGTGAGCCCTCTTCACCCGGTTCTACAAAAACGTAAACCACAACATTTATGAAGAAAAGGGACATTTATCTAAAAGGAAAAAAATGGTAAAAATGTAAAGAATACATACTATGTTTTTGTCGACTACATTTAAAATCCATGAAATCTCAATATAGAGCTAAAACAATGTCATAAAAGTCTATTCTGTGTCTATAGTTTTGCCGTATCGCTCTGATCTCTGCCCCTGTTCCCGGCTCTAAAACAGTTCTATCACTAGTTTTCAAACACATGTATTTTTGATCTCTGTCATATTTTCTGACTAGAGTTTTCAAGTGAATCTCTCAAAACAAGATGAGTGTAGAGCCCTGAAAAATACCAAAGAAAAAGTGTTGAAAATTATTTGTGCTTAACAGACGAATAGATACTACAATTGGCTATGACTTCATGAGATTAGCCGTCCAGATTATAGCAGCATAAATCTGAAACACTGCCTCCCCATGTTTAATCCTGACTCTGAGCACCAGCAGGAGGCCAGTCCCTGTGCTCCTCAAGAGTCCCAGCAGGAGACCAGTCCCTTTGCTCCTCAAGAGTCCCAGCAGGAGTCCCTGTGCTCCTCGGAGTTCATAGGGCACTAACATGTCTCAGATGTACAGTACTTTGGAGCGAGGCTATGGAGAGACTTGTACTGTACTGGACTAATGCGAGTTGCTTTCAGTATCAAAATATCTGTATTAAATGTAAATAAAAGTATAGT